AGAAAATATGTGAATGAGATTTTTGGAATGTTAATAATAGTTCCTTTTAATTAAAAAGATAATAAAAATAAGGTGACGTCAGTAATTAGTGAATGAACTAACCTAACAAAGTGGACTAAACTTAGTAAGAACTTATATAAAGTTTACTCTAATAAAAAAAATCATGTTGTTTAGTTTGATTTTAAACAAACGATTGGATTTAGATTGGATTTTCTTGTTGAGACCCAATATATGAGGAAGTTTTTTTGTAGGCTTTCAAATTAGAGTTAATTTTTTACACTATGCGCATGGTTAGTATGGCATCGGATAAGACCAAAATACAAAAGTCTTATGTTTTTTTAGGACCTACCTCCAACCCTTGTACGCCAGCGTGACATTTCAAATCAATAATGTAGTTTAATTTGATTTTAATTTCTATGGATGCGATAGTTGTGACATCCCGTCCCGGGATTATTAACACGTACGTGTGGAATTACAATTTTGCCCCTAGTGTGTTTTCGTCACTTAGTGGGGTTGTTTTGTGTGTTGTGGCATGTGTTGGGCCACACACACACCTGCACACTCTCTGCCCTTCCCTTTCCCTCTGTCTCTCTCCCTCCCGTGTCTCTCTTTCTCTCCCCCGAGCTCCCACTACCCCTGTAAACGTACGGACATAAACCAAGGACCTTTAAACCGTAGCAGATCGAGGAAACCAAGAGTGCAGTTGTGATCGTGAGGTCGAGGGGAGCACGAATATACCACTTGCAGGTAAAAACTTCGACGTTTTCACGTCGATATCGCGATGTCCGTTTTGAACACTGTTCATGCAACATTAATTTACTTAGTTTTTGGACATTTGAAGCTTGTAGGTGGGTTGGTGAAGTCCTAAGGAGCGTCGGAGTAGCTCGTTGGACGAAGTTGGACGTCGGGAAGGCCTGGTTCGAAGTTGGCCGGTTTTTGAGTTTGGGGACAGGTATGATTGCGTAACTTTTAGCCTTTAAAAGTGGTCCAACGTGATTCTACTAGTTTAGGGCTTTCTTTTGGTCCAAGAATCATAGAAAATGGTTGAGAAACGAAGGAGATTAGTGAGTTTGAAGTTTTCCAGTTTTCCGGCCAGTTTTCCGGTGACCGGAGTCCGGCGAAGGTCGGCCGGAGAAGAAAGGAGAATATTCCGTTAAGTTTAACGGAATATTCCTAACGGCAGGGGTTAAGTTTAACGGAATATTCCGTCAGGTTAACGGAATATTCCTGACGGCGTCTGTTGACACCGTCAGTGTGCTTGGCACGTGACCGCGCGTGGGGGCGCGTGGGTCCGTGCCTGTTCTGGCGCGTGGGGGCGCGTGCGGGGTCCAAAAATTATTTTAAAAATATGGTTGTGATCCTGAGGTTGTGTAGAGCACGTTGGTATATTCATTTGTCCATTTTGAGCAATGTATGAGAAGTTATTACGAGAAACGGGTTATGTGCTTTAAAGTTAACGTTTTTATAGTTGTTTCGCATCTAGGTGACACGTACCCAGAGGACGAGCGTGCACATGCGAGACAGGGGGGCTACGACCCTTCTACATACCAGTGAGTGGGCTTTTGTTTTCCGTATATACCTATATACATTTATATTCCCAGAAATTGATTTAAAAAGGGTTATTTGCCTTATGCCATGTACTTTATTAATTATCGTTTATGCATCGTTGCATGCATTATTTGTGGCATACATATACATATGCATATGTCATATATATTTGTGTGTGGGTGCTGTGGAGGCATAGGTAAGTGCCAGGTAAGCGTTAATTAACGATTGCATTACATAGTGTTTAGAGATGCTTAGAGAGCTCATAACCTGCACCCCCGGTGTTAGTGCTCCCGCCCAGAGTAGGGCACAGTCCTTCACGTGTTGTTCACCTCCTGCACCATACGCTCAGCTTGGATCCAAGTTAGGTGCATAGGCCTGTCGTACAGACCACAGTAGGTGGTTCCGACTCGTAGGTGACCCGCGATTATTCGCACAGCCTTCACGTGATCGTAGCACTAGAGCGTATATACATGTTACACCCAGGCCTGTCGTACAGACCCCTTTAGGTGGTTCCGACTCGTGGGTAGGTTTATTTGTGAGATTGATATTTGAGCTCTATATACAGCCGTACAGGTCACGTTAGGTGACTCCGGCTGCCAGAGGATTGGGTGATTGATACGACTCACACCTGAGCACTCGCATATCATTAGGAGATTTTGACATAGCATATATTGAGCATGATTGGCATACCCTTGAGCATGTTGGGCATATCTATACATACGTACATATGTTATTTTTCTGGGAAGTATACAGGTTTTACGGCGAGGGGTTAGATTGTGTTTTGCTAAATGGTTTTCAAAGAGCTTTGTTTTGCCCACTCACGCTTTTGTTTTGCGCCCCTCCAGGTTCTAGTTGATTAGCCGTTGCGGTGGTTTCCCTTGCGAGCTTTTCGGCGTTCTGACAGACACTCCACATGTAGGGTCGCCTTCGGCTTACTACTGTGTTGTTTTATTTGGACTGCTATAGACTTGCTCTGAATTTGTATCGCACTAACTAGCACTTATTCTAGTACTAGAATGCTAGTTTTTAATTATTCGTACTTTTATATTACTACTCTATTAGCTTCCGCACGTGCACATGGCTACGTCGCCTTTGTGTGACGGCCAGCACGCTCCTATCTCGGTCGGGGTGTGTCAATAGTAGCTTACATGGGAGTGAAGGAAAGTCTCTCTTCATAGCTTTGTAAGAGGTATTCAACGGATGAAGAATATCTTGTATACAAAGCTTATCAAGAGAGCATGCAAAAGGGTAGGCAAACATGGTTTTCCTAGCCAGATAGGCAAAAACTTGCACAAAGTGAATAAGCAAAGGAGTTAGCAAATTATATCACTCCCCCAAAGAAGCAACATGCTACATTTCATGTAATACAATTTTGCTAACTTGATTTGCATATTCTCATAGAGATGCGTTAAACAATCGGAACAGATGTATCATTTGACTGTTCACATAAAAGCATTATCTATATTTTGGTGGTCCCACCAATTTTACATATTCCACCCTTATTATTAGACCTGACATTCGTGTCGTGTATTTTATATTCGTGTCATACCCGATAGCTTAATGAGTTGTGTCGTGTAACATCCGTTAAAATAAACGGGTAATATGACCCAACCCGTTAATATTATCAAGTAATATGACCCGACTGGTTACTTGTTAAGAAAAATATATTTAAATCAATAAATAATGAAAATGAAAAACATAATTTGATCCAAAAAAATGTAAAACATAATACTAAATTAGTATGTACATACACATTGTTACATAAATATTAATTCAAAACATAAAAATAAAAAAAAAACATTTGTCATTCAAGTTTACATACTCCAAAATAAGAGTTTAATGAAAAAACATTAGTGCATGCTATAATATACAAATGTTCAAAGATATGCAAAATGAAGAGAGTTGTGTTTCAAGGTTGAGGAACCTTGCACGTTTTTGATAATAAAACCCTTCAATTTTCATCAATCACCAAGGGAAATGGTATTGGAAATTTGGTTTGATATATTGGCTTCAAGCGTTATGTTGACGATGTATTCACTAAGGTTTTCCATAATCCATAAACTATAGATCTAAATTTAACTATTGATTGTCGCTTATATTTACGTTCCATTCTTCTCACCAATTTTTTTTTTTTTTTTTCAGATTTCTTTTTTGAAAACATGATCTCTTAGAGAATGTAGGAAGATGAGCGGTTTAGATCGTTGATATTACGTTCAAAGTGTTACCATTAGTGAAAATATAGCTCGAAGTTTATAAAGTCTCTAGAAACTATATAACATCAACTTATATTTTTAGTTAACCGTAAATATCGAAATGTCATATTAACGATTCGAACCGTTCATTTTTCTACATCCACTAAAAGATCACTTTTCAAGAAAGAAAATCTAAAAAAAATGAAATTTGGTGAGTAGAATAAAGTCTAAATAACAATGGACAGTTCAATTTAAATCTAAGGTTTATGAATTATGGTGTCAGATTTCGGAGTTGACCCCTTCACACAAGTTGTAAAACTTGTCATTATGAGTGATTGTATTTTTTTTTTTTTTTTAACATTTTCACACTTCTACAATAATAATTATTAATTTTGCACTCAAATAAAAAACACTATTCATGAGATTTAGATGGTTTTAAAAATCTAAACGACCATGTAACCATCGCCTAAGCGTAGAAGATACAACCATGTAACCATCGCCTAAGTGTAGAAGATGCAATCATGAGCCTTTATACATGCTTTCACATTTTTCAGACTTATACATTAATGATTATGAATTTTATTTATATGAACTTCCTTAAAAAATACTATTCATGAAGGTTTGTATGGTTTTAAAAATTCAAACGACGATGTACCCATCCTCAAAGCGTAGAGGATGCGATAAAATAAAAATAAAACTTAAAATTTTAAAATTTATATAGAAATACAATAATAATTAATCAACAATATATACATATCTATTATATCTATTGTATTTTATAGTAGTTTAAAAAATTAAAATCATCAAAATAACCTTTTTCTTATCGTGTTGAAATATGTTACTCGCGTGTCACTCTCGTGTAAACCTGTTAAAGACCCGTTATTAACAGGTTCTTATCGTGTGACTTGATTAGTTATCGTGTAATAAACTACCAGATCTACTTATAATTGTCATATTACGACAACTATACTAAAGTTTTGTTTTTAAGAATGACGTTGTCGGACAACCCTCCTAAATTTGTCGTGAAGTCATTGGAGGGGTGAGCTTCCATCAATAATCATAAGCTGCCAACCCACTGTTACCTCACAACTCAAAAATAAGAAGGAAAATTTGACCTTATTTTTATATTTGTTATGAAAAATCAAACCAATAAAAATTACCCCCAAAAACATAGAGAGTTAGTATTATAATAAGAGGGAGCTTTTTCATAATTTGAAGTATCTACAAACACCTTACCCTCCAATCACAGCCACCCACCTTCAAACTTCCTCCCTGTCTCTCTCTCTCCAAAGATATTAGCAAAAATTGAGATTCATTTCTTGAAGTTTGCTATGGTTTTCTCTTTCCATTCATAGCTCAAACACTACACTTCTGTTTTTTTTCTTTCTTCTCTTTTCTTTGTTGCTCAAAGGACCTCCAAAGAGAAAAGAAAAAGAAGGAAGAAACCTTTCCCAACTTTTCCTTCTCACTCCTCTGAAATTCAGAGCCTCTCTCACTCCTCTACCCAATTGGGTTTTCCCCATTCTTTTCAGTTTCTCTCTCTTTCCAAATTGGGATGTGTTAGAATTGAAGAAGAAGAAGAACAAGAAGTTGCAGATACAAGTGAGCTTTCTCCTCTTTTTAAATCCTACCCAAGATTCCAACTTCCATTTTCTGAAAACGTTTTCTGGTTCTCTGTCTATGATCTTTGAAGCCTCAATGGGTTCAGATCCCATTAGGGTTATTGGGGTTTTTGGATTAGGTGCAAGTTAAGCTAATTTAAGTTTCTTGATTTGGAAAGATATTTGTTTGGATTTCGAAAAGTTGGGTTCTTTCTAGATTCCTCAGAAAAAAAAGTATTCTGATTCCTTTCAAAATGCCCCTTGATTTAACACTCATTTCATCCCTCTGAAACCTCCACCCTCCCTTCCATCTCTCTCTGCATTCCCTCTTAAGGTTCTCCTTCTCTTGCTCTGTTTCTTCAAATCCTTCGAGTTTTTCGGTATGCTAGCGTGAATTGGAGCTCTTTAATTCGATAGTATGAAGTTTGAGATGGAGATTCTGTCCCCTTCGTCCTATTTTGCGACTTCGAATAGGCTTATGGAAGAGAGCAAGAGCGCGAGATGGACTCCGGCGGAGAACAAAATGTTCGAAAACGCCCTGGCGGTGTACGACAAGGACGCGCCGGACCGATGGCACAAGGTGGCGGAGTTGATACCAGGGAAGACGGTGAGGGACGTGATGAAGCAGTACGAGGAATTGGAACTTGATGTTGGCAAGATAGAAGCAGGGCTTATTCCGATTCCGGGATACGGCCCCTCTCCATTCACATTGGAGTGGGTGAACAGACACGGCGGCTATGATGGGTTCAAACAGCAGTCTTATGGGATTGGCGGCAAGAGATCTTCGTCAAATCGCCCTTCGGATCACGAAAGAAAGAAAGGGGTTCCGTGGACAGAAGAAGAACACAAGTAAGTTTCCCCAATGAAAATTTCAGAACGTAATGTCATTCGGTAAACATTTAAGTTTCTAACTTTTTCTGAGGACATGATCTCATTGAAGTTTTATGTTTTTCGAGCTCGAAATCTAGATATAACCTTGGTATTGCGTATGAAAATCATATTGGTTAAGAATTTTTTGCAGTGATTTATTTGTCAGACATTGTTTTGACATGATATTTTGATGATTGTTTGGCATAGGCTGTTCCTAATGGGACTGAAGAAGTATGGCAAGGGGGACTGGAGGAACATCTCGAGGAATTTTGTGGTGACACGAACACCGACTCAGGTGGCTAGTCATGCACAGAAGTACTTCATCAGGCAGCTTTCCGGGGGGAAGGATAAGCGAAGAGCCAGCATCCATGACATAACTGTCAATCTCAACGACATGAGAACTCCGTCTCCAGACAACAAAAGTCCTCTCTCTCCAGAGCTGCCTCAGCATCCGAATTCTGCTGCCACCGCTAGGGCTCCGTTTCAGTGGCATCAGCCGCAAGGCGGTGGAGTAAACTTGGGTTTTAATCAAGGGCATGGAAATATGTTCATGTCCTCCCATCCTTATGGGATTAGTTCATACGGACAAAAAATGCAGGGGCAGGATCTGCACAAAGGTGCTGCTAATAACTTGTACTATGGACCGCAAAATTTGGGTTTTCAGATGCAATCCTCGCAGCACTACCCGCACGGATGATCTATCAGTGGCAGCTCTCCTGTCCTCAATCCTCTGCAGCTTCATATGCCAATATGGTCTTTTAGTTCATTAGTGTAGCTTGATCCAAGCTTCCTTTTTTTTTTTCATGGTTTAATGTAAATATGTTGTTCACAACTTTGAGTTAGCCAAGCAGTATTTGAGGGGAACAGGATCCAAGTTTTTCTTGGAATTTCAAATTATGAAATATGAAACTGAGTTGAAGCATCTCAAACCCTATGGATTTCATGTTCTGCCCCTCTCTGGATTTCATATTCTGATATGTGATAAGGTAGTGGTGAATTATTGTAGAAGACATCTAAAAGATGAACAAGAGCTTGGATGAGAGAGATAATGATTTTACTTTCTAGAGTCCGGTTAGCGAAAAAAAACTTGGGTACGGCAGTCCAATCAGCTAGATGAGTAAGATGCTTTCTCAAAGGAATGGGCCCAACATCCGACCCCACATAGGTTATACTTCCAATGCACACCAGCCTTTTGTGAGAGTGGCTAATCAACTTGTCAATTAGGCTGTCTTACTGAATATTTTCTCTCGACTTAAGAATCTTAAAGCAAGATGCTAAGCTGATCGGTTGACTGTTCTCTATCTCATACCTTAAGAATGATTCCTCTAGTAAAGAATGGAACCTGGAAGGCGATAATACACCAGATCAGATGGCAGACATAGAAATTCCAAGTTCTAATGGTAATGAAATAACAGGCACAATCAAGATAAGCATCTTTTGTCAAATTGTGAAAGCATAATTAGTATGAATCCTGTGACCAGGATTAGTACTAATTATGATTAACTTAATACGCACGGGGATCTTCCAAGCTTTAATTTTTCTTTACTCCTTGAATTTTAGTCAAATGTATATGACTTCTAATTTTGCCACTTAATAGAATTAGGGAAAAATTAAAATTATAGAAAAGTCTATGAGCATCTCACATTGTGCTTTGACTGCTTGGAATAATCTAAAGAGAATGATTCATGCATACTCATTTTCTCCTTTTGCACAATTTAGTTTATTTTTGCCATTAATTCTCTTTTGTGACCGATATGTTACGGGGTTGAGTCGCAAAAACAGTCTATTTGCAAATCAAGGGCAATGGTGCGTATGATAGACATTTCCCCAGACCCTTGCCAAATAAAGAGTCTTATTGGCTTGAAGTCGGTCATATCCTTTGATTTATTCAATCAGAAATAAATAGAAGTTTATCGAGGGAGAAAAGACATTTGCGGAAATCACTTCCCTAATCTTAATCTTCCCTAACTAGCCTTTAGACTGTGCAGTTAAACTAGTTGGTTTCCACCACAAAAATCAAGACCGTGAATGCTGGGTTTTCAATTCAAAGAGGCCAAGTCATAGAGCGCTTATGTTTGGAATTCGATGGTAATTGGCAAGTAAGACGGTCTACTTTTAGCTCTTTTTAGACTGTCGCACTGAACTTTGGTTCAAAAAATGGGCAAGTTGACTAGGCAAGACTTTCAAAGTCCAAAACTTTGATCAAATGCTGACCACATGCTGACTCTTCCCTGCACTAACTCAAGCATCTTATGCTTCTTCAGTCACTTTTCTGGCTTTGTTTCTATGAGATCCTCTTCTAATTAGGTAAGAAGATCCCGACTAGGGATGTTGATTAATGATTTCATTACACTATAAATTACTCGGCTTGTTACATGTAAGAAGAATTATTTCCTTACCGAAAACACAGTTTGATGCATGAACATAAAGTTTGTTTTTTCGTGGTTATGATTTTCACACACCTTCCTTTTCCTTCCACACTCTTCTAATTTATATCTTTTGATTTGTTCAACCCATTAGACATAAACAATGTGAGGATTGTGGAAATCATTAACTTTTGTGATTTTAATACTCACTTCAGTATATGTGTCAACCCATTATTTACTGTTAGTGACAAATGATTCGTTAACTGTAAGAAGTCAAACAGTCTTCATTATGAATTTATAATAATATATAGCACTAAACAGGATATAGAACAGATTTGATCTGGTAAGTGAATCTAAATTTCGGTTCATGTTTTCTGTGCTGGATTTGGTTTTGATCATGGTGGTTTTGTGATTCTAAGTGTACGGCACCTACCAACTAAATAAATGTTAAAAGAGTTTTGATTGTTCTCTGTTCAGATTTAGACTAATTAAGTAGCTTTTTTTTAGCAGAAAGACTACTTTACCCTTTTCTCTCAGTCAGTGTATTATATATATATAGGATTTGAGATTCTCTTTTATTGGAATTAACGAAAGATTTAGAGTAAAACTGAGTACAGTAGCGTTTTAACATTCATACAGTCGGTCCTGCTAAGCTTGGTTGTCGTTGTTTGTATTTAAGATTCTCTTTTGGTGGGAATATGATTGACTTGTATGTATTTCCTTTAGCCTTCCTTCTTTTATTTATTTGGAAGAAGAATCTTGCTTCTAATTAAGTGCTACTTTGAACTAGTTATATGCAATGCCATCAAGTAAGACAAGCTAACAATTATTACCTACTATTTAGCTCCATAAAGTTCAATGACACTACAAGCATACTTTTGGAAGTTGAGTTTTCCATCTCTATCCTTAGAAAGAGGGAGTGTTCAGTAAGGCTACCGCACTACTGTGATACAACAACGAATTCAAAGGGTGAGGGACACGTGCATTGGGTGAGGGTTAGAATATAGGAGAGGAGTCACGTGGTCTGGATGTTCGCTTTGAAGTTTTTTCTCCCTCGTATCAAGGTTTTTGTGGAGCTGATTGCGGAGTTGGACTAATGATCTATAACCATACACAGGTTCTGTTAGGTGATACTATTTTCTTACCCTTATAAACCCATGAATTGATCAAACTCATTCATGTCCGGTGTAGGGTTTCTGTCCATGACATTCACCCCTAATCGAACATGAAACCTCTCGTCTTCAGTGTTGAACACCTTGCCTATCCATCCATCCTATGTTTAACCCCTCGGCGGATTCAATCCACCCCTAATAATATCGATGTGCACGTCATATAGTAGACATTCCGATGTGTTGCTTTTCTCCAACAGATGGTTAAAGAAAAAGGATGAGAGAATTGAGGGAGAGAAAAAAAAAATGAAAAACTAAAAACAACTTCAGGTGATTTACTACTTGAAACTTCAACTATATAAAAAGGAAACTCGCTATTGCAGACCGCACCAGTTAAACAAAATGGCAAAACAATGAACACAATGCTCTAGTTGCACTGTGGTGTTTTTCATTTTGTTTCAATTTCGAGATAGGCATATAGAGTTATACCCCCAAGTCGGGCAAAATCTTGGGTGTAATAGGGAATATACCCTTTCTATCCGTCTCACTTATTGTGTAACCGTGCCAAATATAATTTTCTCGGTCAATGAGATGCTGTTTTATTCAACCTTACATATGGTGTAAAGAATCTCGACCAGCATGGGCAATATAGTCATTTTAGGGTTTTTCACAGTAAAATGACAAAACTAATCACCATTTTTTTCCAACCCTTTATGCAACTTGGAGAGGAAGGCATCCTGTACCACTTTATTCCTAGTTTGATTAACATCTCAAAAACTAATTCTAACCACATACATATAGTATCTCACTATCCCTACTACTTTCGGCCATCTTGTTTTCTCACCATTTTCTCAACTTATATTCTGATTCTTCTCTCTCAAATTGCCAAATGCACAGCAGAATTCCCTATGGGGGCCTAAGTCCCCCTTTTTGCTACAGTTACACGGGATCCCCGCTAAGAAAGGGCTCCATAGTCTCTAATTACTGGTTATATCTAAAGCAAAGATATGAGTGGACTTTGCAGTAGGGTTTGATTCTACGATGCTCTTCAGTGGCCCAATGGAGATATCTGGGAATAGTCTCGTGTGGGGGACCTATTTCTACATCTCAAGGTAAAGAATATGGAAGGTCGGAAAGCAGAAGATACATCATACGTGAATAACATTAGTTAATGTAATCACAGATTAAACGATTTCATTTCTGTGTGAGTAATAAGAATCGGATAAACAGTTCAACAAATTAAAAAGTATGAGTTAAGTACTGGTTTGGTACTGATGTGTTTTTATAAAAAGTGACTATAAAAAAAAGTTGAGCTCAAAAATGTATTTGGTAAATACTTAAAAGCAGCTTATTTTCACAGTTTTGGGGTGAAAAAAAGCTGAAAACGTGAAGCAACAAAAATGAACTTATTCTCATAGCACAGCAGAAGCGGTTTTTTTCCAAAGTACAGTAATACCAAACCAGCCCTAAGACATACCATTGTCAATAATATCAGTTGGGATACAAAGCTGCAGTCGGGATATATGTGACTGGAAACCTTGTTCTTCTCCCTCTTTATTGTAATGAAACTGAATTGCAAACTGACACTGTACATTGATCTGATTCTGACCGTATGATTTGTATCCGCTCTAAGAAAACATCCCATAGTCCACCCTTCGTGCCAGCCGACTATAATGACAAGGAGCCAGCAGCACGGTATAAGGTAACATAAGAAAAGAAGAGGATGAATTCAGACATTCAATTAAGAAAAAAAAATACGAAACATGGTGGCTCTACGAACTTCCCTTGCAACCATGTCTAGCAGGATCTAACGGACAACGGATGGTCAAAAAGATCCGCAACAAACTTCACTCTCAGTATTCTTTCAACAGCATCATCTATCCTGGACATTGGTATCTCCCCATGTTCCACCAGACATACCAAATCGTCCACAAACTGTTCATATCTGAAAGGCACCATCACCTGCATACCTTGGCATTTAGGCAAAAGAAGTGCAAATCAAGGATTGAAACAAAAAATTTAGTCTTGGAGTTCAATATCTACCATGTCAACTCCTGCATCAACGGCAGATGAAATAGAGAAACGATAGTCTGAACCTCGAGGTGTGCAAAGTCAGTCAAGTGATTCCCAGTCAGAAATAACAAAACCCTGCAGCATAAAAAACCCTGTTATTTATCTGACATAGAGAAGCTACATTTAAAAAAACCATGATATATCTGAAAGTCACATCTAAGACCAATAAAATTGTGCTTAATTAATTAACTTGAATTTCACTATATGATTCTAATGTTAGCAAGTTGCATCAAACGGATCAGTAGGAAGTATGTAATTTACTTCCATTCCAGCTGGAATAGGATGCCATAACAGTAGAAACTCCCTGAGAAATACAGTCCCGAAATGGTGCCATATGAATCCTCTCTTAAGTCTTTGGAAGATGATATGGTATTCCCCTCATTTAGACCTTTATGTGTACCTCCATCTCCGCCAAAATGCTTGGCACATGCAATAGTTTTGTTTCTGGAATAAAACGAACATGGAATTTATGAAATTATTTCTAACAGCTTCTACTTACCTTCCCATAACAAAAGGGTATCCCTTTGGACGTCCTTTGCGTGGCTGCCCCTGCAAGCCTGTAACAACGGTCGTCATCTTTCTAACAATTTCAGTGTCTTCCCTGAAACTCTCATAGCATCTTCCCCATCTGGGATCTCTGCACACCTGTCGAAAGACTCGAAACTCATTCAAGTGAATTGCTTTACTAATCCATTCAATTTCATCAGTCTCATTGTAATCTCAAACATATGTCCCTAGTGACTTACAGGAACACAAGGAAAAAAAGTATATTGAATGCCACTAGCCCTGACTTCAAGAGCGGTTGCAGCACCAATCCTTTCAGCCAAATCAGCATCTCTGTCACACAGTTCACAAAATGTTAAGGGAAATGCAGGACTGAAACAGAACTCGTATCTATAAATTAGTAATTTAACTCCACCTTTTTCTTCTTTTTTCCTTTTTTTCCTTTCTTTATATCATTCTGTTTAACTCAATGCCAACACGAATCAACCAATATGGTAGTTACACTCTGCAAGCTATTAGAATGTGAGCATCCCACTCAAAACCAATTGGCAAGTAATTCTCCGATGTGGAATTCGTAGTCTCAACACTCCCCCTCATGTGTAGCGTCACTCCATCCAAACACCTAACATGTAATTAGCCTGATCTAATCCCATATGAGCATCCAACGCAAAACCAATTGGCGGGTGGAGAGACCCAAGATCTTTTAAACTGTTATGTAAGGATTATAAACGTATAAGACTAAATTACTGTTCCAGAAAAAGATGAAATCCTTGATCCATTGTGATTCAGTTACCAGTAAGTAACATAACTGTATCCTTTTGAGTCATCAGTAGGGACTGTAAACTTAAAATTTCAATTCTTTTCCAACATTTTCTTAGTAACCAAACAAGGCATCAACAAAAACAAGTGAAAAAGGGGATCATTCACATCTTTGAACTTAAAAACCAAAAGAAGGAAGCTAACCTGGATGCCCAAGACCAATATTGTGAGGGAATATGGTGGCACCATACACACTGTTTCCATGAACCGCATCAAATTTACTAGAATACTTCAGAGTTGCATACCTGAATCTGTTCATGATCTTATTCAACTGAGTTGAATTCCTTCAGTTATAGTACTTTATAGAAAATATAAGGTATAAACTTATCCGAGTCCAACAAAGTAGATATATCCACATTTAATTCCCAAAAAAAGGGAAATACAAAAGAATTTTGATTTGTTACAAATATTAAAAACACACAAAGGTTTCTTACTCTAATCCTCTGGAGAGCCAAATGAATCTGGTAAATTGTTATTGAACACCATATTACCTATTATTCTACAGAGGTTACGCAGATCATTATACTACTTCTTACTGTTTCGGCTTGATGGATCAATAGCCTGTTCATATTTTAGAAGTTTTAGACTCACAATCTACATCTTGGATGGCTTCTAATTTGCCTCTGGCATCAGCTGGCTTAGAAGTCCACCTGCACCTCCTTCTACAGACTAACGTCTTCTAACTTATTCTGGAATTCCTTGTCACCGACTGCTCGATCACCAACTTCATAAGTGACTTCTTCAAGAGTCTTTCTTGGAGAATCTTCTAGTACCTGTTCAATTTAACAAGTTTTGCGTTCGTTAGTCTTAAAAACTCAATGTAAATAAGATTCCGCTCTTCCAGCTTCTAAAGAGAGAACAAAATTAATGTTGTGAGTACGTGATTTATATAAAATGTTTTCTTATATATGAGGTTTGTAGAACAACGAGGTCTGTAAAGTGTTTGCTTATTCACCAAGAAGAAAAAACACACTTTTTGTGGAATGTATACTTTGCTTACCTTGCTAGCTGTTCGTGATACATTTCCCGTATCTTCACTAGAGTCTCTGTCAAGTTTTAATCTCTTCAACTTGTTTTTTCAATTCTGCAGTAGCCTCAGTAGTTGGTTTTTTCAATTCGGGAGCAACCTCCGTTGCTTTTGTTGACACATTTACATTTTCTTCAATCGGCTTTTTCACCTCAATAGCTCCATCAGTAGTGTTATGTGCTACATTATCAGTTTTTCCACCTGAAGAAACCCCAGTTGCTTTCTGCGAAACATTTCCACTTTCTTCAGTTGTTTTTTTTAAAACTGCACCAGGCTCCGATGCTTTTTGTGATGTGTCTTCACTCCCTTTATCCTGTTTGTTTAAATTTGTAGCAGGATCTGATGTTTTTTGTGATGCATCTTTGGTTTCTTTAGCTGGTTTTTTCAATTCTGTTGCAGACTCAATTGATTTTTCCGATCCCATTCCTATTTCTTCAGCTGGCCTTTTCAGTTCTCTCGAAATCTCTGCTGTTTTTTGTGACGCTGCTTCGCTTTCTTTAGCTGGTTTTTTCAATTCTGCTGCAGACTCTATTGATTTTTGTGATCCAATTTCTTTTTCTTCAGTTGGCCTTTTCAGTTCTCTCAGAATCTCTACTGCTTTTTGTGAGGTTGCTTCGCTTTCTTTAGTTGATTTTTTCAATTCTGCTGCAGACTCCATTGATTTTTCTGAGCCAATTCCTTTTTCTTCAGCTGGCCTTTTCAGTTGTCTCGGAATCTCTACTACTTTTTGTGGCACTGCTTCATTTTCTTTAGCTGGTTTTTTCAATTCTGCTGCAGACTCTATTGATTTTTCTGATCCAATTCTTATTTCTTCAGCCGGCCTTTTCAATTCTCCTGGAATCTCTGCTGCTTTTTGTGACGCACCTGCAATTTCTTCAGTTTGCCTTTTTAATTCTACTGGGACCTTAGTTGCTTTTGTTGATACACTCCCAGTTTCTTCAGCAGGTTTTTTCATTTCTGCAGCAGCCTCAGTTGCTTTCAATGGTACACTTCCAGTTTCTTCGGCTGTTTCTTTCATTTTTGTGGATGCGTCTGTTTCTGTTTGAGAAACACTTCGAACTTCTTCAGGTGGTTTTTTCAACTCTGTACTATCCTCTGTTGTTTTCCCCAACATATTTTCAACATTTTCGGCTGATTTTTTTGATTCTGCAGCAACCATTGATGTTTTTTGTGGTGGATTTCCAGTTTCTTTAGTTGGTAGTATCAACTCTAGGCCAGTCATTGTTGCTTGTTGTAACACATTACCTATTTCTTCAATTGGATTTTTTATTTTTTCTAGAGCCTCTGTCATTTTCTGTGATCCACTTTGAATTTCTTCAGATGATTTGTTCGATATTGCACGATCCTTTGTCTCTTTTTGTGATGCACTTCCAACTTCTTCCCCAAAAATTTTCAGTTCTGCAGTACCCTCAGTTGCTCTTTGTGATTCACTCCTAACTTTTTCAACCGGCTTTTCCAATTCTGCAGTTGCTCCCATTGAAACGTTTCCAATTTCCTCTGCTGGTTTTTTCAACTCTGCTACTGCCTCTATTTTTTTTCCTCGCACGTTTTCAATTTTTTCAGCTAGTTCTTTTGATTCTTTGGTGGTCTGTGATGATTTTTGCGATACACTTCCAATTTCTTCAGCCGGTTTTTTCAGTTCTGAAGGAACCTCGCTTGCTTTTTGTGAGACACTTATAATTTCATCGGTTGAATGTTTTAATTTTGCAGGAGCATCACTTGCTTTCTGAGATATACTTCCAACTTCTTCAGGTGGTATTTTCAGTTGCACCGGAACCTCTGTTGCTTTTTGTGACACACTTCCAATTTCTTGAGCCGGTTTTTTCACCTCTGCGGTAGCCCTGGCTTCTTTTGTTGATACACTTCCAATTTCATCACTCAGTTTTTTCAATTCTAAAGCAGCTTCTGTTGTTTTTTGTGATATATTTCCTATTTGTTCAACAGGTTTGTTTATGTCTGCATCAACCTTTATTGGTTTTGCCGATACATCTTCAACTTCCTCAACAGGTATTTTCGACTGTGTAGCAGCTTTTGTTGCTTTTTGTGATACATTGGATGTTACTTCAACTGGTTGCTTCAAATCTGCATCAACCTTTGTAGCTTTTTCCGAAATATCTTTGATTGCTTCAGCTGGTTTTATCAATTCTGCAGCAGCTTCTGTTGCCTTTTGTGACACATTTACAATTTCTTCAGTAGGCTTTTTCATCTCAGCAACAACCTCTCTCGCTTTTTGTGACGCGCTCCCAATTTTTTCGTCTGATTTTTTCAAGTCTAAAGTAGCCTCCTCCGTTGCCTTTTGTGACAAAATTCCTGTTTCTTCAGCTGGTTTTTTAAGTTCTGCAGCAGCTTCTTTTGCTTTTTCCGATACTTTTCCAATTTCCTCAGCTTGTTTTTTCAATTCCGAAGTTGCTTCTCTCACTTTTTGTGATAAATCTCCAATTTCTTCAGCTTGCTCAGTCAGTATGATGTTGGCTTCCTCGGTGGACTTCTCTGGAGGCATACATTGTTTCTGTTATATGAAATGCAAACATCAGTCAAATCGTTTTAATTTTAATTATGATTTTGGATTCCACAAATCACGAGAGAAGAAGTTACTAGAGAAACAAAAAATCATAAAATTTGATTGAAAGCATGTATCTTTAGTTTTTAACAGTTACAAACCTGCAACTTCTTTGAATCACTTGTATTTGATCGGTCACTAGTTGATTCCTGACCAGGTTGCATTGCAGTTTGAGGCGTCAACAATATGCTGTCATGTGGCTTCACTGTGGATGAATCACTTTTCACGTTGCCTCCCACCTCAGATTCCGGGGCACCCATTAGTCTTTCAGGATTGTAATTTGACGAGGACGCTTGATCCCTTGAGATATCTTCCAGTAACACAGATGTCGGAGATGATAATGATGAGGAAGAAGAAGTGGATGCAACGGCAACATCTTCAATCACCAGATCTTTCTGCATAGCTGATGCAATAGGATCACCAGAAACTCCACGTTCTACGGTACCTTGCTCATCCTTTCTGCCTTGAGTTGGGTTCGAGTTTATTTTCACATCAAGTTCTTTTGTGTCATCATTTTCAGTTTCCTGTTGAAGATCTCCCTCAATACGATTTGAATTCTTATTGTCCTTGGTAGGATGCTTAGTGTACAAGGAAGCTTCACGTTCGGCAGTATTCGCAGAATTTCCCTCCAAATGCCTGCTAGATACTGAAATAGTCCCCTCCTTTGCCTTTGACGGCTCTCCCACAATGTCTTGCTTAACCAATATCTGGTCTCCACCATCTCTGCCTGCATTCATCTTCTCATCTTTCAAACTATCAGTCTCATTGGTTGCTGGTGTGTTCACCTTCTTTGTCGTCTCATCAGGAGGATTCAATTCCTGTTCAATATCCAAACTGATCACACAGAGAGAGAGAGAGAGAGGTTTTTGCATGTAAACGATTAATTGGAAGTCTTTTAGCAGATAGAAAGATATTCACTCGAGTCTACGAGAATTGGGGCTCAAACTTGGGTGATTTACTTTGGTTGGAATTTGAACTACTCATTTCTTAAATTCTATTAGAATTTTTTTCAGCCACATTACTCTATCACAACATAAAAGCACTGACCTCTAGTTTTGCAGAAGGATGAGCCACCCGCTGTTCATTCGATTTCATTGTTTCGTCTTGATTTTCGAGTGAAAGTACATTGCATGAGCTAGAAGCATTTAGCTTTCCAACTTTTTCGACTGCTTGCCTGACATCATCGTAACTCTTTCCATTATAACTCAACGAATGGGCTTGCCCGTCTCCATATATTTCCGTTATCGAAGATGACAACGAGCACACATCATCCAGTTCATCTGGTTGCATGGATGATGATTCAGCAGCATCCTTGCTGTTCTTATTGTTTCCCGAAAATCTGATGCTTGCAAGGTCTTTCTCGCTGAGTCCTCGCACGTCCCTTGGTTTTGATTCACTTTCTTCTGTTTTTGATGATTGAGACGACGCTGCCCACATGTACTCTTTTTCAAAGTCGCCATCCAATGTCACGGATTCTCTATCCGTGGGTGAATTGGCCCCGTCTGTCAGCGGAGGTGAACCAACCTCCGAAACCTCCACCTGTAGGTCAGAAGCTATAGAGTATGTAGGAGTATGACAAGTACCCCTTTCAGAATAAAACAAGCGTTCTTCCAACCTGCTTCTTTCGTGCGCAGACGGGCTAGAATCATGCAACGGCTCCTTTGCAGATTTGCTCTTCGGAATCGAACAATCTAGGGGTTTTGGTGGAATACGCCTCAATTTTGATCCTGCATTTTGAGAGGGTCCAGGTCTAGCAAAATGAAAACTCTGTTCATCGTCTTCGGAATATGAAGTTGAGCTTGACTCGTCGTTGCTGTCATCAGTTACGTGTGGCTGCATCTCTACACTTTTATTTTCCTTCTTGTTCGTTGCTGTTGTATCGATCACCCTCTGAGTTTCTCTGTTTCCTTCATCTTTCGGTTCCACTGAGCTTGTTGCCGGAAGAGGGGATTCAGTTCTGCTTTCAGCAGTATCAGCACCGTTGCCAATGTCGGACATGTTCTCGCGTGCTTTTGACAACAGAGCTTCGATAACTTCGTCATGCTTACCCGACAACATTCTTTCGATATGCCTATCATGAGGTCCTATCTCTGCAGAGAAAAAGAAATATGGATGCAGTTAAGAACCATAACTTGAACCACAGGCAATAAAAAAATTTCGAAAGTGGGATACACGAAAAGCTCGTCTCACCTAATTGTTTTTTAAATCTGGAGCACCCCAATCCATCCAGTGATTTTCTCTTGGGTTCCAATGGATAAGAAGCAGCTCCCAAAGAGAAGCTCTCGTGCCGGCAAAAAAGCATTTCCTTCTGGTGAACCGCCGTGAATTCTTGTTGGAAACTATCCGCCATAAGGTTCGGCTTCTCTTCATGCGGATCGTACGGAAGATCAAATGGATTTTGCATTGGTAACAAAATGGAAGGGGCTGAACCAGGTGTGTCCAAATCACTAGAAACTAATTTTGTGTAATCGACGGGGTTGTTTTTCGATATTAATATCGGAGCAATCTGACCTGGTATGATAGTATCCAAGTCAATTAGACCTTTCTCAACCTGCATTTTGAACAACTTTCTTGCTTTTCTTCTGGCAATCAAACTTTCCAGCCTTTTGTTCCTTTCTATCTCCGAAAGCCCGAGATCCATGAGATTTCTCTGATCATCGTCTGTCCACTGCACCGCCTTGTTTCCACTCTCTTGTGCCTCTCCTCTATTAGTCCCGTCGCCTTCTAATTTGCCCGGTTGTTCATCAGAGTCGTCAGACGACAACAACTGAGATTCTGAAATGTCGGAATCTAGGACCGAATGGTGCTGCTCAACGAGAGCCTGAATACTTTCTTCCGCTGATGCTTTCGCCGCGGAACTCTCTCCCTGATCAAAACCACATTTAGCTTTCTCCTCCACGACTGCTTTCTTGCTTCTGTCAATCAATGCAGTTCCACCAATCAAACCACCATTCAAAGTTTTCGAAATAGAAATGTGTTTCCCCACATTATAATAATCTTGGGCACCGGCTTCTATGCACCTTCTCGAAACATTTGTTCGTCTGCTTTTCTGTCTAGTGAAGGAGCTCCCATCTCGGTTGACAACATCACCACCTCCAACAGGTTGATCGGGTTTTACACACGGCACTCGATCATTACTACTCGGTTTCTCATCCCGTTTGACCTCTTCTACGAATGTGAGTCCTCCGGAAGAGTAAAACAATCTAACAAGAACAGCAATGCAGACAAGAAACGGAAACCAGAAGACAAAAAGATTGAAAAATACATAAAAGAGGTAGCAGAAGAACAAAGTGGCCGAAATAAACGGATGCTTCTGTACACATAGGCTACTAGTTTTCATGGAAAACTTAACAAATCTCCATACACAAACTAGTACAGCCTCAGCTCCAATACCCATATCTACCTCTTTGAACAAAATCTCGAAAACACAGAAACCCGAAAATGTACAAAACTAAGCGAACAATTTACTACATCCAAACCTAGAACAATTTGGGCAGCACTAGTACTATGAATACAGAACTGCGGAAACAAAATCCAACCCGCATTGTAAAAACTGAAGAAAATCGGGTTTCGCTAAAGAGAACAAATTCAAAGGATTCGGATGATATTACATCCAAACTTATCACAACTTTGGCAGCACTAGGATTACAATTTGGGCAGCTCTAGGACTAGGAAAGGAGAAATGGAGAAACGAAAGCAAACCCGCATTTTAAAAACAGGGGAAAATCGAGTTTCGGAAACGGAATGAAAGATACAGAATTTTTGAGATGGACGACGATTTCAAAACCATAAGAAAATGAGAGGTAGAAATGAGGAGCAAAGGAGGGAGGGGGTCAAAGTTTTGCCGATGAATGTATCTCTCACAATCTTTGCTTTGTGTGTGTACCTCTGCAGCTCTGGATTTAGGGGTTTTTCCAAATTTAGCAAACTTTTATTTGCTTGGCTCTTGGTTCCTGTAAGATCCTTCATTTCAGGACATTTTTTCAAGCCTCCATCGCTCAAACCAGAACATGACAAAATAGGGAACGGGTAAAAAAACGGTTGTTATTTGACTCATGGTCAATTCCAATCCGATTAACAACCCCAGCCCATCAACCATCAAAGCCCGTAATCGAACTCTGTTATGATACTAAATTGAAAATAAATGATTTAAGATAATTTTAGTATTCTCTACAATCTCATAATTCTCGAATACAACTTTAATATTTTATTCTTTTCCATAAGGAGGTATTTATAAGATTACAAAAGAGGAATGCTAGGAAATAAATCAAAACAATCATTGTCCACAAGATAAGGAAACCTCGACCAAATAAAATAAGATCATATCAAATAAATCTCTAAAATACTTTTTTTCTATATTTTCCAACACCACCCGTCAAATTCATGATGTCATGAGTTACCCATAAAAGAACTAAGTTCTAATTTGAAACTTATTTCTGCTACAACGGATGTGATCGATATTAAGGTTTTACTAGTCTCTGAAAGAGGAATACGACTTGGTGGAATGCACCCACCAATTTCCCAATGGTGAAAAGTCCTACCCTTCGCTTCTAGGAGAGTCAGCATATTGGCACCAGACCTTGAGTTGGAAGTAGTGTGGTGGAACGCTGTTTTTTCTTTGAATTGTTGAAATTTCCACCTGCCTTGACAAATTTTGTTTCTTTCTTGCACGGATAGGGATGGAGGTCGAGATTCCACAGCACCGCGACAATTCAATGAGCCAACTTCGTCTCTGAACTCAAGTCTTCACTTTGACCCATGCATCCTATCAACGGAAAGGTGCTCGACGTGACCAAACTTTATAACTTTTTCTTGACAATTGGCTTTTTTCTTTTTTTTTTTCGTTATGATTGTGTACCCAAAACTCATTGAAAACTGAAAGCAGTAGAAAAGTGGAGAAAAAGAAAATCCAAACCTCAAAACTCAAAAGTGTAATTGTATCAGTATAAATGTGACTCCATGTTGTGCAGTCATCGGAAATGCTATCATGGTTATATATGAACATTGCCATGCGTTTTTTTCATCTATTCAAATTTGAATAATCAATAAAAGAATTATAGTTTGAAAGTTTCCACTGATGCTGTCGAGATTAAAGATGCATAGCAAATTGTGTTCTAAAGCATTCAACGTGTAGTATATTTGGGTATATGTGTAATATGGACAACCAAAAGAGCAACACAGAAGGATTCAACATTAAAACAACTTTTTGTTTTCTTACAGTAATTTTTCATTTTCTTTTCTTTTACAAATTAAATATAGAGTAATCATATGTATATTATTTAGTATTCATTGTTCACGTATCTTTTCTAGATATGGAATAACTGGGAAGTAATGAGGAATGCAACATCCCTAAATAACATGGTCAAATAGTTTGTCGAAGATACTAAATAAGGAAGTTCAATTTCGGTAGAGGTCAATGCTTTTCCGCAACGAACAATTTCATCTTGTACTTGTGTGAGTATTTGGGAGACCGATTTGTCATTATCTTTAATCCCTCCCATTGAGAAAGCGAAACCGTCTACTGCAAAATCATATGAATCTGCACATTGTTTTACTGCTCCGGAGCCCTTAACAATATTGTTGTCGGTGGTGTTGAGCGCATTGACAAAGAAAGCTTTGCTTTGTTGTGCATTTGTTAGTGCTAATTTAAGAATGGCTGTGTCAAGATCTTTCAGATTAGATGCTGATCGAGTTGGAATATCTTTCCAAAGAGATTTTACGCATTGCTTGTAGTTGTAGCTGAATTGGTCTTGGGTTTGCTTGCAAACACTTCTAACTAATGAAGATGCTCTTGCATTTGCAAATGGTGTTGGAGACGATGAGAGACATATGAGCAATGATGCAATGAAAGTTACATATCCGATTGAGGAATCCATTTCTCAAGGTGTATGTTTCTTAAATTGATGAAGTGATTACAAATATTTGTTTGATTTATGGAATGGATGAACGGAGATCATATTTATAAACAATTCAAGGAGCGGGTATGGGTCTAAATTTAGGAGTGCAGAAGGTAAAGAAACCCATTTCTTTTGACGTGTTTAGTTTTCTGGTTCTTTAGTTTTTGTTTTTTCTTTAATGTACTAACTGATAACACACTGGATGCAAACCACCTAACCTATTCTAGTTTAATTAACCAACTCCTCATTTCTAGAAACTCCAACATAACCACAAGTGATGCATGCTTATCAAAAGGATTTTTTCATTACATCGCAAGGATTAATTTAAGTCATTTCATTTGTTTTTTTTTTACAAATTCATTTACATCCGTATTTACTTATCAATATATATGATGTTAGAAGAATCTAAAAAATTCAAATTGATAGTATTAGAGGAGTTTCTTTTAGCCCATTTCGTCATGTTCAGTTAGCAGCTTAGGAGGATCGAGCCCTATTAAGCGAGGTTACGATAGGCGGCCTATGAGCGTGGGGACATGGACCCCTAACCTGGAAGTCCAGCGCCTCATCCGGCCATTGGAAAGTTTATGGAACCTAAGGGTTGTGGATTATAACATCCAAACCTAGGCTTTACACCATTCGAAGGAATAATCAAAAGGGCATTCTGAAAATCAGCTGAGGGAGCATAAACAAGAAATTTTGTGTTTGATTTCCAGATATATTTCGTTCACACCAATGTTTTAAATATCGCTAGGTTGTTATCAAGCGGCGGGTAGGGTTCTAACTAGTGGCCTAAGGTTTTTTTTATCTTAATTAAATTTATTATACGACATACAAATAAGTGCATATATATATTTTAAAAAAAATAAATAAGTAAAAATTATAATTGTAATGGGTAAACTTAAAATGAAAAATATGAATACAAATAAATTATATAAAGTACTACAATTTATTGAAAACATCAAAGAACTATCACAAAGAGAGACAATCACATCACATTCTTGGTTTCCTTTTTCAGTTTGGGAAAGGGTGAGTCAAGACTCAAAGTTAATTAAAAAAACAAAACAAACACTTATTCTGCCTAGACCCACGTAGATGCCATACTTGATTTTCTAACCGTTTAGTAATTAATCGTGGTGCTGACTAGCTGTCTAGACTGCTTTTTAGAACATCGATTCACACTGCTTTCACCATCTATCCTTAGCCTATCCTCATTGATCTTCAGATCACATATTTCTCATCAATCTATATAATTAAAAATAAAATTAAAAACTTAAAACGAATTGGTTATCAAACTAGCTCTTAAGTTTTAATTTTGTACCAAAATGTAGTGAGGGCTTATAGAAACCTAATGTATTCCACTATCGGAGTCGAAGCCCATATTGAAAGTTATCAATTTGTTTTTGCTACAACGGATGTGATCGATATTAAGGTTTTACTAGTCTCTAAAAGTGGAATACGACTTGCTGGAATGCACCCACCAGTTTTTCAATGGTGGAAAGTACTACCCTTCGCTTCTAGGAAGTCAGCATATTGGCACCGGACCTTGAGTTGGAAGTGTTGTGGTGGTGCACGGTCCTTTTCTTTGAGCTGTTGAAATTCCCACAGGCCTCAATAAATTATGTCTCTTTCTTGCACGGACGGAGATGGAGGTCGAAATTCCCACAGCACCACGATAATTTAATGAGCGAACCAACTTCGTCTCTGAAATCAAGTCTTCCTTTTGACCTGTGTATCATATCAACGGAAGGGTGCTCAACGGACCAATCTTTAGATCTCTTTCTTGCCAATTGGCTTTTTCTTTGTGTGATTGTATTCCCAAAACTCATTGAAAACTGAAAGCAGTAGAAAAGTGGAGGAAAAGAAAATCCAAACCTCAAAACTCAAAAGTGTAATTGTATCAGTATCAATGTGACTCCATGTTGTGCGGTCATTTGAAATGCTATTATGGTTATATATGTACATTGCCATGCGTTCTTTTCATCATCTTTTCAAATTTGAATAATCAACAAAGAATTATAGTTTGAAAGTTTCCACTGATGCTGTCAAGATTAAAGATGCATATCAAATTGTGTTCTTAAGAATTCAACGTGTAGTATATCTGGGTATACGTGTAGTATATATGGACAATCAAAATAACAACATAGAAAGATTCAATATTAAAACAGTGTTTTGTTTTCTTACAGTAATTTTTCATTCTTTTCTTTTCTTTTACAAATTAAACATAAATTAATTATATGTATATTATTTAGTATTTAAGTAATGCGTACTGAATTTAATACATTGTTCACTTATCTTTTCTAGATATGGAATAACTGGGAAGTAATGAGGAATGTAACATCCCTATATAACATGGTCAAAAAGTTTGTCGAAGATACTAAATAAGGAAGTTCAATTTCGGTAGAGGTCAATGCCTTTTCGCAACTAACAATTTCGTCTTGTACTTGTGTGAGTATTTGGGAGACCGATTTGTCATTATCTTTGATCCCTCCCACTGAGAAAGCGAAACCGTCTACTGCAAAATCATATGAATCTGCACATTGTTTTACTGCTCCGGAGCCCTTAACAATATTGTTGCCGGTGGTGTTGAGTGCATTGACAAAGAAAGCTTTGCTTTGTTGTGCATTTATTAGTGCTAACTTAAGAATGGCTGTGTCCAGATCTTTGAGATTAGATGCTGATCGAGTTGGAATATCCTTCCAAAGAGATTTTATGCATTGCTTGTAGTTGTAGCCAAATTGGTCTTGGGTTTGCTTGCAAACACTTCTAATTAATGGAGACGCTCGTGCATTTGCAAATGGTGTTGGAAACGAAGAGAGACATATGAGCAAGGATGCAATGAAAGTTGCATATCCGATTGAGGACTCCATTGCTCAAGGTGTATGTTTCTTAAATTGATGCTAAAGTGATTATAAATTATTTGTTTGGTTTAAGCAATGGATGAATTGAGATCATATTATAAACAACTCAAGGAGGGGGTATGGGTCTAAATTTAGGAGCGCATATGGTAAAGAAACCCATGTCTTTTGACGTGTTTAGTTTTCTGGCCCCTTAGTTTTTGTTTTCTCTCTTACGTACTAACTAATAACACATTGGATGCAAACCACAAAACCCATTCTAGTTTAATTAACCAACTCATCCTTTCTAGAAACTCCCACATATCCAAAAGTGATGCATGCTTATCAAAAGTAATTTTTTTTTAATTCCATTGCAATGATTAATTTGGCCATTTCATTTGTTTTTTGACAAATTCATCTACATCCATATTTACTTATCAATATATATGATGTTAGAAGAATCTAAAAAATTTAAATTGATAGTGTTAGCGGAGTATCTTTTAGCCCATTTCGTTGTGTTTAGTTAGCAATTTGGGAGGCTCAAGCAATATTAAGCACGGTTATTATAGGTGGCCTAGGGGCATAGGGACACGGATCCCTGACCCAGAAGTCCAACACCTTGTTCGACCTCCGAAAAGTTTATCCAACCTAAGGGTTGTGAGTTATAACATTCAAACCTGGGCTTTGCGCCATTCGAAGGAATAATCACAAGGGTGATTCGGAAATCAGCCAAAGGAGTATAATCAAGACATTTTGTGTTTGATTTCCAGAAATATTCCGTTCACACCTATGCTTTAAACATCGCTAGACCATTATCGAGCAGCCGTTAGGGTCCTAACTGTTGGCCTAGTTTTTTTTTTTTTTTTAAATATCTTTATTAGATTTATTATATGACATATAAATAGGTGCATATTTATACTTAAAATAAATAAATAAACTATACTTGTAATGGAGAAACTTAAAATGCAAAAAATAAATGTAAATAAATTATAAAGTACTACAAATTATTGAAAACATCAAAGAACTATCGCAAAGAGAGACGAACACATCGCTTTGGATGCAAACCACCAAACCTATTCTGGTTTAATTTGTTTTGTACTGAAACCAGCTTCTCCTTTCTAAAACATGACAAAAAGTGAAGCATGCTTAACAAGAGGATTTTATTTTATTTTATTACTTCGGAAGGATTAATTTAGGCCATTTCATTTGCTTTTTACAAATTCATCTACATTCATATTTACTTCTCGATAAAAATAATATATAGACTTCGGAAGAATCTCAACAAATTTATAACAAATTTAAGTGTGTCTATCATAAGCGAAAACGGAAAAGTATATATGAAACAATATCCAACAATATGCTTCACTAGACAAAAGTTGGCATATTATTTATTGCTTTTAAGTGCGACGGCATCTGAATGTCTTCATAACCTTTTCCTAACCATTCATCGGCAATTCTTTTCTCTCTTTTTGTTGCTGTATACCGAGACAGACCCTTATCATAAGGATAGTCGTCCCTCTGAAACTCCAGGCACAGCCCAGGCAAACAATCCTTATGTCCATTATTCGCCTGTTCTGGTGACATCGAATTCTTCTACCAAGCGTTAGTGTTTTCGTCGTTCCCTTGTTTCTTTACGCAGATCTCTTAAGAATCAATCCTTCGATTATAATAATGATCATTAGTTAGCCTTAATTTAACTGATAAAGAAATTTCTTGTGGGAAACTTTTGTGCTCTAGTTTTATCCATGCTTACAAAAGTACCAAAATTTAAAATTTAGCGCTACTTGGCTTCTTACATGTTTTCAATTATAGTTTGATACTAGCAGGACTGCCCGCGCTTTGCTGCGGGTTTTCAAATCATGAATAATATTCATAGAAAATTTAACTGAAAATGCTACAGCGATATAATCGCATTCTTAAATGTAACAATTTAGAGAATGCATGTTTTACATGAGTAACGCTCACAAAACCACACATTTACACAATTATCTCCAAATGAAAGAAAAAGCAAGAGATATGTGAATTGATCCATAAAATACGTAGTTTAATTTACATCGCTACTCATTAAGTCGTCATCAAATAGAAGCTTCACATCACAATAATTAACCACAATCCTCTGTTTTTGTAAGTGCAAAATGAAAAACGGAATCAAATATTAAACCCAATATCTTCACAGCACAATGTTCAACCCAAAATCTTCACATTAGCTCAAGAACTATATTGTTTCCAGAGCTTTCCAATTTCCCAGCACGGAACGACAAACATAAAAGCATTAAAATAGCTCTAAATTAAAACAATAGGATGAACTACAAAACGATAGAGGAAAGATTAAGAGCTTACCCTCACAAAATCAAAGCTCACCAAAATGCTTACCCTAACCAGAGAATCGTAGAGAATAAATCTGCATCAACATGTAAATCATAGAAAAAAAATTAAAATTTATAAATACCATCATTTCACTACTAATTTGAATAAATCCAGAAACAATACATTGGAATAATCTTTTAGGTCTTCCAATATTAATAGGTTAGAAATTCAGAAGATAAAACACCACAATTCATTAAATTCAAAGTTGAACAATTCATTAAATTCAGAGCTTACCCCTTGTGTTAAAAGTCATGTGATGTGTGCATTTACAAACACCAAGATTTTACATGCCCAAGAAAGGGAATCACTCCATTAAAAAGAGAGGAACTACTGATACTGCAGGTACATTAACCAGACCACTAATTTTAAATGACAACATATGCTCGAGTAAGCGAAAGACTAAAAGACGAAAAGAAGAGGGTTATATACCCGTTTCAATGTCATTGTCAGGGGCCTCTTAAACCTGGTTCCAGAATGAGGATAGTCTAACACTCTCGTAGTGACTAATACTTATTGTGACCTTCACTCAGTTTGTGAATTAGAAGCTTGAAATACACCAAAAATTATATTAATAGTCATTCCCCTAATTTTAACTACTAACAGCGTAAAGAATTGGAAATTACAATTAAGATCAATGTTTTCCCCCTTTTTTTTCATTGCCATAAAAGGCAGAAAAACAAAGGCTTCTAAAACTCAAACCAACCGTCTCATTTCTTCCCAAAAATAAACACATTTTAATCCAACATTCATAAATGCGTGGTCAAACAGGGGAGAAAATTATGTTAATTTGGGCTTCAAATTTACAAACATAACTGTTTACAATAAGCATATATAACATGATTTGGTCTGCAGTGCTTTCACCAATAGTTATAAAAAACAAAGATTCTAAAGATATGCATGCAATAGAATGACTATTACCTCCAAGTAAGCAATTGCATGGTTGCAATCTAAGTTGCACACATCATGTTCAATCTGATAGCTTCAATATAGCACTTGACAACATTATTTCAGGCTTTTCCTTAAATGAAGTATTTCCCTGGGAAAAGATTAGCAAACATAGAAATTGAAACAATACACATAAGTACATTGGTATCCCAGTTCTTTGCTAATAGAAAATGAAATTAAGGGGATGGAGAGACCTAATTTCAACTTTTTGAAGGAGAACACCACACTTCATTCATATCAAAGAACAGCATGATTCCAATTTCAATTTTGAACATAATAAATCACATAGCATTCATATATTACTTCAACTTCTTTCAAATTTACTTTTGTATTTAAAGATTGTATATTTTAATGAGTCTAAATTGACTATATATAAATTATACCTTTTTATATTTAAATAATAATGTACATTGTATAATTACAGTTATAGTCCATGAATACAATTAGAGGCCTTTGAATTTCTTTGCAAGAGAAGATTTACATGGAAAAGCAACTGCAAATATACAGAAGGAGGGAATTTGAGTTTTGTAGTCCATCTACTCAGCAATTTCTTAATATAGATGCAACTGAGCAGTGGGAGAGCTTTAGCTAATACTATTCAATTCCACAGGTAATTATAAAAAAATAATCACATAATTTCTCACAATAAAAATCAATGTGACTAAAAACAAATGATATGTATCAACTTTGATGATTTCCCTTATTTTCCCTCTCCTTCCCAGCAACCAAACAGGGGCAAAAATTACCAAAAACTGAAAAGATTGAAGTACCTGAGCAAGTTGGAATGCCTGGGTTGCCATATACACTTGGTGTAAAAAAAATAAGGGTGGGCATTTTCAGAGCACCTAAACCCTTCATCCACAAACGTATGTAAAAAATCATACAAAATAATATTTTGAATGCATTAAAAGAGTTCATGAATTTCCATAGTGTACCAAGTTAGTAGAAATGTACTCCAAGATGACCAGGTCAAAAAGAGATTCCTTCACTCCCAATATGGTTTATCAAAAGTAATGTCTTATTTCTTCAAGACAAACATGCAAGACAACACCAATCACAACTACAAATACTAACAATTGTGCAAAAGAGTTATAAAAACACTCATGTACGATATAAGAACAAACCTCACAATTGGTCTTAAGAATTGTTTTTCCAAAGAGACCCATTACAATGCGATCTGAAAGAAAACAAAACATGAATAATATCAAGGAAAATACATTTTCTCTGTCAAGTAAAATCTACGGCAGGTAATGAACAAAATACAAAGTTCTCAGCTTTAATTTAATTATTATCAAATATTGAGGGAAATTAACAACTACCCAGAAATGTTTGCTCAAAATTAATTGATAATATGAATAATTAAATTACACAACATTTACAAAACCCAAAGTTCTTAGCTTAATTTGATCTTACCTTTTAAGTGGAAGAAGTAAAAAATTACACATAAATGTTTGCACACAATTAATTGATGAAACAACCAATTGGGCAATCAAACCCCCTCTCTCATATCACCTGACGGCAAGATCTGAACCCTTGACGGGGTAGTGTGGTCATTTTGACTCCCAAACTGTAGTGATCCCTAGCAAAAGAAACCGGCAAACAAAGAAAAAAGAACAAACGATGAGCAATAAAACTCACAGACCATAATACACAAAATTCCCTATAACGTAAATTGATAAAGCATTTTACCCAATCCAATTGAATTCCTGATCACAACACATAAGATAAACTAATAAACCATTTTATCCAAATAACCATTTAATTTTAAACATTTAAAACCGAAGAGAACCAAACGCGCATATTTGGAAAAAAAAAATGGAGTGTTTTGAGTATATAAATCTCACCCTCAACACTTTAAAAATGCAGCGGTCCCAATGGAAGGAGAACTTGCAAAACAGTGTCTCAGCACAAACACAACATATAAAACAAACAAACGAAGAAAAAAAAAATTTAAAAACCAATAATGAACGTTAAAATTCAAAAATCCTAGGACACAAAATCGCAAACGACATAAAAATTAATAATAAAAGTTATTAAAAAACAGACACCGCTTGACACCAAATGCTTGACGCCAACGACGACCCCAAAGGCAAGCAAAATCTCAAACCAGTTAAGAAAAAATTAAGAGTCCATTCCTCTGTCATATTCTTTTCCCCTGTTTTACTAACCCCTATTCCCAAATGTGTCTTCGATTCTCTTTGTTCCCTTTTTCTCTCACCCTAATATCTCACCTGCAAAATCTTAACGCTGCTGCCTTCCCCCACCAACAAACCCTCAACACCCTGTAATGCTATTTTCTTCCATATCTATAACAAAAAATGCATGCATAAACACGGTAGAAATTTGCAAAAACCCACAACACAACCTAACTAAAAATCTCACGGATTAAAAGTTTCACCCAAAAGAATCCCCCATCTCTCTTATCAAATGAAAACTCCAAAAGCAATTCAATGGTTGATAACAACCCATTTAAAATTGAACCCAAAAAAATTAAAAGCTTCTCTCACATTGATTAGTTGTTCATTCTGCACCTGCATTTTACTAATTCTACGTTAAGAGTTCATGTACAACTCAAAAAAGCAGATTTTAACAACTAAAAGAACGGACAGTAACACCATATGACCGTGTCATGATAAAAAATGATAAACAAAGATTCGCTCAAAAAGCAAAGCATAAAAAAACTCCCAAAAACAAAGATTGGGATCTCTTCATCCGAATTATAAGTATTGTATATAAGTCTTCAAATACAGGACTAATGTGTTATAAGTATGGTGTGAAAAGTATTTACAGAACGTTGTTCCAAATCAATAGTTGGACAGAATAAAGTATTTACATAACGTTGTTCCAAATCAATAGTTGGACAGCATAACATGATAAACTTATTTTGAGCAGGAAAGTGAAAAACTATCTAGCAACACAATCTATCAAGAGATGTAAGTTCTCCATATACATATATATATTTATATCAACTTGTCATATTTTATAAAACTAAAAGCATGACAATAAAGGAACCTTGGCTGCCATAAGTCATATCCGGCAACTGCTTCAGCCACCCCCACTGGAATTTAGGGTTGAGTGCATTTCATTCGAAAATCCATCACTATGAAATATGAAAACAAAAAATCAATTCAAATCCAACATATCCAACAACCCAAATATTATAATAATCTAATCAGACAATAAACAATTAGAGATGAAGCTTAATTACCATAAAGAAATGAGGGGTTGTCTGGTAAAAGCTAGTTGAAGCTTCATCAAATATATATAGGATGATCAAACAATCAGAGACTAATCTCGATTACCTTTCCCGTTCCAGGAAAATCACTTCCAGGCCCACTATGAAATATTAGAAGGTCCGTTAACTCATAAGGCTAATATAGTAAATTAAGTCTCCTTCTATCCCTTGCAACGCAAAGCAAAAGAAAGCCCCTCCTTTTCATAATCCCATACAGGGTGAGGTTAACACTTGCAGAGAGGGAAAATGGCTTATCACTTATGCCATATCTATTGTCTAACATACCTTGAACTGCCAACTCCACCATTCCCTAGGCTAGCAGATGCCATACCGACGTCTAATCACTTCACTACTGCAACACAGCAGATGAGGCTACTACCTCCCCTCCTCGTAACACTTCCTGCTCCTACGTCCACTCCCATCCAAGCACCTACCTTTCTATTAAACAACATAAAAATTCAAATTCAAATTTCTTTCCACAAAAGCATTAATTAAAATTAAAATTCATAAAACATAGAAATTGAGCTGAAATTGCTGAAACAAAATTCAAATGAAAAAATTTTAAAATTGCAGAGTCAATTAATTACTTAATTTAGCTCGGATCCACACCAAACTCACTCCAATTTTTTAAATTAAGCACCAAATACAAATACAAATTTAAAAACCACCGCCGATCCTTCGAAATCAATCGGACTCCAACAAAACAATTAATTTTCGGCATTTTCAAACGCAATACATCCAAAATTCAGAAATCGGTTCGGACGACTGACCTGCAAGCGTTTTGGGGAGGCCTGGAAGCAGAGCTCGCGCATTTTAAATTCCGCTCCGCTCCTGGAATTTTTTAGATATGAGTAGAAAATTTGGGAAGGAGAAGAATTTAATCGAGAGAGTGAAAATTCAATCTACTTCAGGATCAAACACTAAAGTACGAAACTTTACCTTTTCCCTTCTCAAATCTGACATCTTCGAGAGCTCCGCCCTACTTTTGATGGTCGTATCTGAGTTCATTTGTGGGTGTCGGCGACTTGCAACAAAGGTGGATCCACGAAATGGAGGTTGGTTCGTGGGCAAGAGGAAAATTCGATATGGGTTCGTGTGGAGGTGCATCGGTGATTGTTGAATGGATTTAACTGAGATGATGAAGAGGAATGGGGTGAGCAGCGCTGGGGCTAGGTTGAGAGAAATGGGAGAGAGAAGTCTCGAATTTGAGAGAAATAAGAGAGAAACAGTGCTAGGGTTGTAGGAAATGAGCTCATAGAGTGAGAAAAGGAAAGGATGGGCGATTTGATGGATGGTTATCGACAGAGTCGGGAGAGAGAAAGAGGGAGAGAAAAGGCGGTGGCAATTTTGTAAATAAAGTGAAATTCGGCTCAAACACACGGACACAATTACCCCCTAACTTTTAAGAAATACCTTCCCAACCCAGCCCAGATCTGATGGCTTTTGTTGTAAATAGCGTGAAATCGAGGGGCAAACAATTGACTGTAGCCCAATGAACAGTCAATTGCTCCCTAGTTTTAGAATAGATAACTAGCAGGACTGCCCGCGCTTTGCTGCGGATTTTCAAATCATGAATAATATTCATAGAAAATTTAACTGAAAATGCTACAGCGATACAATCGCATTCTTAAATGTAACAATTTAGAGAACGCATGTTTTACATGAGTAACGCTCACAAAACCACACATTTACACAATTATCTCCAAATGAAAGAAAAAGCAAGAGATATGTGAATTGATCCATAAAATACGTAGTTTAATTTACATCGCTACTCATTAAGTCGTCATCAAATAGAAGCTTCACATCACAATAATTAACCACAATCCTCTGTTTTTGTAAGTGCAAAATGAAAAACGGAATCAAATATTAAACCCAATATCTTCACAGCACAATGTTCAACCCAAAATCTTCACATTAGCTCAAGAACTATATTGTTTCCAGAGCTTTCCAATTTCCCAGCACGGAACGACAAACATAAAAGCATTAAAATAGCTCTAAATTAAAACAATAGGATGAACTACAAAACGATAGAGGAAAGATTAAGAGCTTACCCTCACAAAATCAAAGCTCACCAAAATGCTTACCCTAACCAGAGAATCGTAGAGAATAAATCTGCATCAACATGTAAATCATAGAAAAAAAAAATTAAAATTTATAAATACCATCATTTCACTACTAATTTGAATAAATCCAGAAACAATACATTGGAATAATCTTTTAGGTCTTCCAATATTAATAGGTTAGAAATTCAGAAGATAAAACACCACAATTCATTAAATTCAAAGTTGAACAATTCATTAAATTCAGAGCTTACCCCTTGTGTTAAAAGTCATGTGATGTGTGCATTTACAGACACCAAGATTTTACATGCCCAAGAAAGGGAATCACTCCATTAAAAAGAGAGGAACTACTGATACTGCAGGTACATTAACCAGACCACTAATTTTAAATGACAGCATATGCTCGAGTAAGCGAAAGACTAAAAGACGAAAAGAAGAGGGTTATAAACCCGTTTCAATGTCATTGTCAGGGGCTTCTTAAACCTGGTTCCAGAATGAGGATAGTCCAACACTCTCGTAGTGACTAATACTTATTGTGACCTTCACTCAGTTTGTGAATTAGAAGCTTGAAATACACCAAAAATTATATTAATAGCCATTCCCCTAATTTTAACTACTAACAGCGTAAAGAATTGGAAATTACAATTAAGATCAATGTTTTCCCCCTTTTTTTTCATTGCCATATAAGGCAGAAAAACAAAGGCTTCTAAAACTCAAACCAACCGTCTCATTTCTTCCCAAAAATAAACACATTTTAATCCAACATTCATAAATGCGTGGTCAAACAGGGGAGAAAATTATGTTAATTTGGGCTTCAAATTTACAAACATAACTGTTTACAATAAGCATATATAACATGATTTGGTCTGCAGTGCTTTCACCAATAGTTATAAAAAACAAAGATTCTAAAGATATGCATGCAATAGAATGACTATTACCTCCAAGTAAGCAATTGCATGGTTGCAATCTAAGTTGCACACATCATGTTCAATCTGATAGCTTCAGTATAGCACTTGACAACATTATTTCAGGCTTTTCCTTAAATGAAGTATGTCCCTGGGAAAAGAAGGGGATGGAGAGACCTAATTTCAACTTTTTGAAGGAGAACACCACACTTCATTCATATCAAAGAACAGCATGATTCCAATTTCAATTTTGAACATAATAAATCACATAGCATTCATATATTACTTCAACTTCTTTCAAATTTACTTTTGTATTTAAAGATTGTATATTTTAATGAGTCTAAATTGACTATATATAAATTATACCTTTTTATATTTAAATAATAATGTACATTGTATAATTACAGTTATAGTCCATGAATACAATTAGAGGCCTTTGAATTTCTTTGCAAGAGAAGATTTACACGGAAAAGCAACTGCAAATATACAGAAGGAGGGAATTTGAGTTTTGTAGTCCATCTACTCAGCAATTTCTTAATATAGATGCAACTGAGCAGTGGGAGAGCTTTAGCTAATACTATTCAATTCCACAGGTAATTATAAAAAAATAATCACATAATTTCTCACAATAAAAATCAATGTGACTAAAAACAAATGATATGTATCAACTTTGATGATTTCCCTTATTTTCCCTCTCCTTCCCAGCAACCAAACAGGGGCAAAAATTACCAAAAACTGAAAAGATTGAAGTACCTGAGCAAGTTGGAATGCCTGGGTTGCCATATACACTTGGTGTAAAAAAAATAAGGGTGGGCATTTTCAGAGCACCTAAACCCTTCATCCACAAACGTATGTAAAAAATCATACAAAATAATATTTTGAATGCATTAAAAGAGTTCATGAATTTCCATAGTGTACCAAGTTAGTAGAAATGTACTCCAAGATGACCAGGTCAAAAAGAGATTCCTTCACTCCCAATATGGTTTATCAAAAGTAATGTCTTATTTCTTCAAGACAAACATGCAAGACAACACCAATCACAACTACAAATACTAACAATTGTGCAAAAGAGTTATAAAAACACTCATGTACGATATAAGAACAAACCTCACAATTGGTCTTAAGAATTGTTTTTCCAAAGAGACCCATTACAATGCGATCTGAAAGAAAACAAAACATGAATAATATCAAGGAAAATACATTTTCTCTGTCAAGTAAAATCTACGGCAGGTAATGAACAAAATACAAAGTTCTCAGCTTTAATTTAATTATTATCAAATATTGAGGGAAATTAACAACTACCCAGAAATGTTTGCTCAAAATTAATTGATAATATGAATAATTAAATTACACAACATTTACAAAACCCAAAGTTCTTAGCTTAATTTGATCTTACCATTTAAGTGGAAGAAGTAAAAAATTACACATAAATGTTTGCACACAATTAATTGATGAAACAACCAATTGGGCAATCAAACCCCCTCTCTCATATCACCTGACGGCAAGATCTGAACCCTTGACGGGGTAGTGTGGTCATTTTGACTCCCAAACTGTAGTGATCCCCAGCAAAAGAAACCGGCAAACAAAGAAAAAAGAACAAACGATGAGCAATAAAACTCACAAACCATAATACACAAAATTCCCTATAACGTAAATTGATAAAGCATTTACCCAATCCAATTGAATTCCTGATCACAACACATAAGATAAACTAATAAACCATTTTATCCAAATAACCATTTAATTTTAAACATTTAAAACCGAAGAGAACCAAACGCGCATATTTGGAAAAAAAAATGGAGTGTTTAAAGTATATAAATCTCACCCTCAACACTTTAAAAATGCAGCGGTCCCAATGGAAGGAGAACTTGCAAAACAGTGTCTCAGCACAAACACAACATATAAAACAAACAAACGAAGAAAAAAAAAATTTAAAAACCAATAATGAACGTTAAAATTCAAAAATCCTAGGACACAAAATCGCAAATGACATAAAAATTAATAATAAAAGTTATTAAAAAACAGACACCGCTTGACACCAAATGCTTGACGCCAACGACGACCCTAAAGGCAAGCAAAATCTCAAACCAGTTAAGAAAAAATTAAGAGTCCATTCCTCTGTCATATTCTTTTCCCCTGTTTTGCTAACCCCTATTCCCAAATGTGTCTTCGATTCTCTTTGTTCCCTTTTTCTCTCACCCTAATATCTCACCTGCAAAATCTTAACGCTGCTGCCTTCCCCCACCAACAAACCCTCAACACCCTGTAATGCTATTTTCTTCCATATCTATAACAAAAAATGCATGCATAAACACGGTAGAAATTTGCAAAAACCCACAACACAACCTAACTAAAAATCTCACGGATTAAAAGTTTCACCCAAAAGAATCCCCCATCTCTCTTATCAAATGAAAACTCCAAAAGCAATTCAATGGTTGATAACAACCCATTTAAAATTGAACCCAAAAAAATTAAAAGCTTCTCTCACATTGATTAGTTGTTCATTCTGCACCTGCATTTTACTAATTCTACGTCAAGAGTTCCATGTACAACTCAAAAAAGCAGATTTTAACAACTAAAAGAACGGATAGTAACACCATATGATCTGTTATGATAAAAAATGATAAACAAAGATTCGCTCAAAAAGCAAAGCATAAAAAAAACTCCCAAAAACAAAGATTGGGATCTCTTCATCCGAATTATAAGTATTGTATATAAGTTTTCAAATACAGGACTAATGTGTTATAAGTATGGTGTGAAAAGTATTTACAGAACGTTGTTCCAAATCAATAGTTGGACAGAATAAAGTATTTACATAACGTTGTTCCAAATCAATAGTTGGACAGCATAACATGATAAACTTATTTTGAGCAGGAAAGTGAAAAACTATCTAGCAACACAATCTATCAAGAGATGTAAGTTCTCTATATACATATATATTTATATCAACTTGTCATATTTTATAAAACTAAAAGCATGACAATAAAGGAACCTTGGCTGCCATAAGTCATATCCGGCAACTGCTTCAGCCACCCCCACTGGAATTTAGGGTTGAGTGCATTTCATTCGAAAATCCATCACTATGAAATATGAAAACAAAAAATCAATTCAAATCCAACATATCCAACAACCCAAATATTATAATAATCTAATCAGACAATAAACAATTAGAGATGAAGCTTAATTACCATAAAGAAATGAGGGGTTGTCTGGTAGAAGCTAGTTGAAGCTTCATCAAATATATATAGGATGATCAAACAATCAGAGACTAATCTCGATTACCTTTCCCGTTCCAGGAAAATCACTTCCAGGCCCACTATGAAATATTAGAAGGTCCGTAAACTCATAAGGCTAATATAGTAAATTAAGTCTCCTTCTATCCCTTGCAACGCAAAGCAAAAGAAAGCCCCTCCTTTTCATAATCCCATACAGGGTGAGGTTAACACTTGCAGAGAGGGAAAATGGCTTATCATTTATGCCATATCTATTGTCTAACATACCTTGAACTGCCAACTCCACCATTCCCTAGGCTAGCAGATGCCATACCGACGTCTAATCACTTCACTACTGCAACACAGCAGATGAGGCTACTACCTCCCCTCCTCGTAACACTTCCTACTCCTACGTCCACTCCCATCCAACCACCTACCTTTCTATTAAACAACATAAAAATTCAAATTCAAATTTCTTTCCACAAAAGCATTAATTAAAATTAAAATTCATAAAACATAGAAATTGAGCTGAAATTGCTGAAACAAAATTCAAATGAAAAAATTTTAAAATTGCAGAGTCAATTAATTACTTAATTTAGCTCGGATCCACACCAAACTCACTCCAATTTTTTAAATTAAGCACCAAATACAAATACAAATTTAAAAGCCACCGCCGATCCTTCGAAATCAATCGGACTCCAACAAAACAATTAATTTTTGGCATTTTCAAACGCAATACATCCAAAATTCAGAAATCGGTTCGGACGACTGACCTGCAAGCGTTTCGGGGAGGCCTGGAAGCAGAGCTCGCGCATTTTAAATTCCGCTCCGCTCCTGGAATTTTTTAGATATGAGTAGAAAATTTGGGAAGGAGAAGAATTTAATCGAGAGAGTGAAAATTCAATCTACTTCAGGATCAAACACTAAAGTACGAAACTTTACCTTTTCCCTTCTCAAATCTGACATCTTCAAGAGCTCCGCCCTACTTTTGATGGTCGTATCTGAGTTCATTTGTGGGTGTCGGCGACTTGCAACGAAGGTGGATCCACGAAATGGAGGTTGGTTCGTGGGCAGGAGGAAAATTCGATATGGGTTCGTGTGGAGGTGCATCGGTGATTGTTGAACGGATTTAACTGAGATGATGAAGAGGAATGGGGTGAGCAGCGCTGGGGCTAGGTTGAGAGAAATGGGAGAGAGAAGTCTCTCGAATTTGAGAGAAATAAGAGAGAAACAATGCTAGGGTTGTAGGAAATGAGCTCACAGAGTGAGAAAAGGAAAGGATGGGCGATTTGATGGATGGTTATCGACAGAGTCGGGAGAGAGAAAGAGGGAGAGAAAAGGCGGTGGCAATTTTGTAAATAAAGTGAAATTCGGCTCAAACACACGGACACAATTACCCCCTAACTTTTAAGAAATACCTTCCCAACCCAGCCCAGATCTGATGGTTTTTGTTGTAAATAGCATGAAATCGAGGGGCAAACAATTGACTGTAGCCCAATGAACAGTCAATTGCTCCCTAGTTTTAGAATAGATAATATGCGAATAATTTTTTATTTTTTATTTTACGTCATTTCATTAAGTCTCACACAGATAATGTGGAGTAAAAAATAATCAAGAAAATTATGGAGGCGAGGTAAAAATAACAAAATTACACTTGAGCCACATCGGAACTTTCACGGGCAAGCAGTGGACAATCACGACTCAATTAAGGTAAAAAGTGATCAAAATAGGTATTTATTCAAAATCTATTTCATCCATCCTCATCAAATCCTCCCCACAAGGTAACCCTCAATTATTCATTCAAATTAGGATTAATTACCTAAATTAATTGATTAATTTCCTAATTAATTAATTAATTTTCTAATTCATTGCAAGATATTATTTTGACATAATATCTTTCAATTACACCCAAAAACCACCATAAGTGGTCGGACCCCTTTTCTCCAAATAGGGGCCGGCCACACCCCTATAAATAGCTCTCATTTCTCCCAAAAACCTAAGTTCATTATTCTCCAAAAATTCTCTATACACTTTCTCTCTCAAATTCTAACTTTGGCATCGGAGGTTCTTCGGCCAAAGTCCCCCCTCCAAATTCATCGTGAGCGTGTGAGGCTCTTGGCCTTGACCTAAGGTGTTGTAGGTTCATTTTCGTCCAAAAGAAGAAGGCGGAAATTTGCAACCACAAATTGGTGCTTTCATTGAGAGTTTGATTCACACGCTCGAAGAAGACTCTCCCATTCAAGGTTTCTCATTTTTTGTTCATTCGTAGATTTTTCGTACGTTCTTATTCCTAGAATTTTTTCATATAAAAAAATTCTTTGAATAAACGTAAAAGAAAAGTAGAACGACAAGAAATTTGGAAACCACAACGAACGAAAATTCCTACGTTCAAAGATCCGGATCAAGTGATGGAGATTGCCATGCAGCCCCACCACGACGATCCACAAGGCTCAACGTGGCGGCAAAAGGAGCAACTTTGCCACCAAGGAGCACCACCACTATGGCAGCCATGGGGACCACCATGTCAGTAGGGAATGGGCCAGCTCCATGGTAGCAGACCTTGGCCTTATGCGTTGCCACTATAGCAGCCCAAACTCAGGACCAAGCCCAAGCCCAAGCGCTGGTAGCAGCAGCTCAAGTAGCCCAACAGACGGCCTAATCTGCAGCCCACGCTGCAGGGCAACCGAGCCAAGCCCAGCGCGAGTAGGCCCAAATCGCTACCCAAGCAGCGTAGATCCGAGTTGCGCTGACCATTCCCTAAGCCCAAATCTAATGCGTTCTTAGCTCCGCACTGCGACCAAGCGCCCCGCACATGGAACGTCCCACTTCCGTGGCCCAACCCACTCTTGTGGCTCACTTGGCGATCCCGACCAATCCAAGATCAGTTCAACAATCCCGATTCAGATTTCTGGACCGACGATTGAACCGGGAATAATGTGGTGGAACATGGTTTTTTCTTTGAATTGTTGAAATTCCCACCTGCCTCAACAAATTCTGTTTCTTTCTTGCACACATAGAGATGGAGGTCGAGATTCCACAGCACCACGACAATTCAATGAGGGAGCCAACTTCGTCTCAGAACTCAAGTCTTCACTTTGACCCGTGTATCCTATCAACGGAAGGGTGCTCGACGTGACCAAACTTTAGAACTCTTTCTTGACAATCGGCTTCTTTTGGTATGATTGTGTACCCAAACCTCATTGAAAACTGAAAGCAGTAGAAAAGTGGGGAAAAAGAAAATCCAAACCTCAAAACTCAAAAGTGTAATTGTATCAGTATCAATGTGACTCCATGTTGTGCGGTCATCGGAAATGCTATCATGGTTATATATGCACATTGCCATCCCTTTTTTTCTTCATCTATTCAAATTTGTATAATCAATAAAAGAATTATAGCTTGAAAGTTTCCACTGATGCTGTCAAGATTAAAATGCATAGCAAATCGTGTTCTTAAGAATTCAACGTATAGTATATTTGGGTATGTGTGTAATATGGACAACTAAAGGAGCAACACAGAAGGATTCAATATTAAAACAACTTTTTGTTTTCTTACAGTAATTTTTCATTTTCTTTTCTTTTACAAATTAAATATAGAGTAATCATATGTATATTATTTAGTATTCAAGTAATGCGAACTAAATTTAATACATTGTTCACGTATCTTTTCTAGATATGGAATAACTGGGAGGTAATGAGGAATGCAACATCCCTATATAACATGGTCAAAAAGTTCGTCGAAGATACTAAATAGGGAAGTTCAATTTCGGTAGAGGTCAATGCTTTTCCGCAACGAACAATTTCATCTTGTACTTGTGTGAGTATTTCGGAGACCGATTTGTCATTATCTTTGATCCCTCCGATTGAGAAAGCAAAACCGTCTACTGCAAAATCATATGAATCTGCACATTGTTTTACTGCTCCGGAGCCCTTAACAATATTGTTGTCGGTGGTGTTGAGCGTATTGACAAAGAAAGCTTTGCTTTGTTGTGCATTTGTTAGTGCTAATTTAAGAATGGCTGTGTCAAGATCTTTCAGATTAGATGCTGATCGAGTTGGAATATCTTTCCAAAGAGATTTTACGCATTGCTTGTAGTTGTAGCCGAATTGGTCTTGGGTTTGCTTGCAAACACTTCTAACTAATGAAGATGCTCTTGCATTTGCAAATGGTGTTGGAGACGATGAGAGACATAAGAGCAATGATGCAATGAAGGTTACATATCCGATTGAGGAATCCATTTCTCAAGGTGTATGTTTCTTAAATTGATGAAGTGGTTACAAATATTTGTTTGATTTATGGAATGGATGAACGGAGATCATATTTATAAACAATTCAAGGAGCGGGTATGGGTCTAAATTTAGGAGTGCAGAAGGTAAAGAAATTTCTTTTGACGTGTTTAGTTTTCTGGTTCTTTAGTTTTTGTTTTTTCTTTAATGTACTAACTGATAACACACTGGATGCAAACCACCTAACCTATTCTAGTTTAATAAACCAACTCCTCATTTCTAGAAACTCCAACATAACCACAAGTGATGCATGCTTATCAAATGGATTTTTTCATTACATCGCAAGGATTAATTTAAGTCATTTCATTTGTTTTTTTTTACAAATTCATTTACATCCTTATTTACTTATCAATATATATGATGTTAGAAGAATCTAAAAAATTCAAATTGATAGTATAAGAGGAGTTTCTTTTAGCCCATTTCGTCGTATTCGGTTACCAGCTTAGGAGGATCGAGCCCTATTAAGTGAGGTTACGATAGGCAGCCTATAAGCGTGGGGACGTGGACCCCTAACCTGGAAGTCCAGCGCCTCATCCGGCCTCCGGAAAGTTTATGGAACCTAAGGGTTGTGGATTATAACATCCAAACCGGGGCTTTACATCATTTGAAGGAATAATCAAAAGGGCATTCGGAAAATCAGCTGAGGGAGCATAATCAAGAAATTTTGTGTTTGATTTCCAAACATATTCCGTTCACACCAATGTTTTAAATATCATTAGGTCGTTATCGAGCGGTGGGTAAGGTTCTAACTATTGGCCTAAGGTTTTTTTATCTTAATTAAATTTATTATATGACATACAAATAAGTGCATATATATATATATTTTTTTTTTTTTTTAAAAGTAAAAATTATAATTGTAATGGGGAAACTTAAAGTGAAAAATATTAATATAAATAAATTATATAAAGTACTACAATTTATTGAAAACATCAAAGAACTATGGCAAAGAGAGACGACCACGTCGCATTTTTGGTTTCCTTTTTATGTTTAGGAAAGGGTGTGTCAAGACTCAAAGTTAATTAAAAAAACAAAACAAACACTTATTCTGCCTAGACCCACGTAGATGCCATACTTGATTTTCTAACCATTTAGTAATCAATCGTGGTGCTGACTAGCTGTCTATACTGCTTTTTAGAACATCGATTCACACTGCCTTCACCATCTATCCTTAGTCTATCTTCATTGATCTTCATATCACATATTTTTAATCAATCTATATAATTAAAAATAAAATTAAAAACTTAAAACGAATTGGTTATCACACTAGCTCTTAAGTTTTAATTTTGTACCAAAATGTAGTGAGGGCTTATAGAAACCTTGTGTATTCCACTATCGGAGTCGAAGCCCATATTGAAAGTTATCAATTTGTTTTTGCTACAACGGATGTGATCGATATTAAGGTTTTACTAGTCTCTAAAAGTGGAATACGACTTGCTGGAATGCACCCACCAGTTTTTCAATGGCAGAAAGTACTACCCTTCGCTTCTAGGAAGTCAGCATACTGGCACCGGACCTTGAGTTGGAAGTGGTGTGGTGGTGCGTGGTTCTTTTATTTGTGTTGTTGAAATTCCCATCTGCCTCAACAAATTATGTCTCGTTCTTGCATGGATGGAGATGGAGGTCGAGATTCCCACAGCAACACGACAATTCAATGAGCGAATCAACTTCCTGTCTGAAATCAAGTCTTCCTTTTGACCCGTGTATCATATCAACGAAAGGGTGCTCAAGGGACCAATCTTTAGATCTCTTTCTTGCCAATTGGCTTTTTCTTATTGTGATTGTATACCTGTTGACCCTAAAAACTATCAAGTCTACGTGGCATGCATGCCGAGTAATTAATAAGCTAACTACGTTCTTCGGTTGTGTGTGGGGTGTGCCAACTCGTTGGCCGGGGAGTAAAATGAGTTGATGTTGTGT